ACTGTTCCGTCGCTCCAGGAATACATGTTCCTCTGACACTGTCCAAGAGGAGGAGATCTTTCTGTGAAGGACGCTACTGGATAACGGCTATCCAGAGAAATATATTGATGTGCACAGCAGACTAAAGACACCGGTTGCTCTCGTCTGCAAAGTACCAAAGAAGAGCGTCTTCCTCAGACTCGCCTTTAGAGGTGATCATATAATGAACGACGTGCGTCAAAAGCTCAAGGCAGCACTGTGCCGAACGTTTCCTGCCGCTCAGCTTCGATTAATACCGTATACCCAAGGATTTCGTTTAGACAATCGGAAACAGAACCAGCCGAACAATTCTGCTTCACATATCGTCTACCAGTTCACCTGCAGTTGCGATGACACTTACATCGGCAGAACGAATCGGCCCCTGGCACAGCGGACGTCTGAACACATTCCCAAATGGTTGGTACAATCGATGACGCAACGAATTCTCAGAGGTCAAACCGATAAGAGAAATCCAGGGTCATCCATCACAAAACATCTCATTTATAGGTGTATCGCGTTACCGGAAAATACCGAGTACATGCCTATGTGATTACTAGGCAATGCAGGCAAATAAATGCAACAGCAAAGACAAAGTGTGTCACACGTGTTGTGGGTTGGAACGGGACCCAGCTTGCTATATACCTCCTGTATTTGTACAGTCATAGTCACTACACACCCTCTGCATTACAGGCGGGACATCTTCAGTAACCAATCCGCTACGGACTTGAGCTTCGCAGCTCCCTCCAGTGGCTGAGCTACAGAGGGTTGAAGGTTCGGCCATTTGTGCGCCGTGTGTTTTTACGTCAAATGCTTCCACTGATTGACAACCTAGCTGAGCGTCGGGACGAGTGCACGTGTAAAATATGCCAGCCGATTTAATCGTTCTTTTTATCGGCTTCGCAAAGCGCTTTACACCACATGATGGGTATCCTCGTCAACATCATATACGCATATGATAGCAAACACACTTCACTCGTTCGAGCGAAACCTAGAGAAACGGCTGGGAAAATCGGCATGGTTTAGTAACACGAAAAATACCACAAAAAATCAAATTAAAATGCTCTGAAACTTGTATTGGGATCAAACGAACAAAACATTATCGCCCATAATAAAATCTCAAAATTTGTCAAGAACAATACAGTCAGAGGATTCGAGGTGTTGTTGTACATCAAATTTCGGAAGGAGATAAATGCAACCATTTCCAAAAAGTTGTACATGAGGACGACACCGTGCGGATACGTGGACTGCCTCGATCGACGCACTGTGAATTGGAGCGAATAAAAGTGTTGGGTTTGTGGAAATCAGTCTGACTTCTTTCGAGAACCCTTTCCAGTGCCACGTCCACGTGTTGATGCTTGAGATCGTTTCGAGGTGGACGGATTTGCTGACTCTGTCGTTTTGGAAGAGGAGGACGAATTGCCACGTGGCTTCGGTGCTTTGCGCTGTAACGAAAGAAAAATATACAGTGAAACTGTATTTACTGCTTTTCCTACAATCAGGTGGCATGAAACTTAGTACAAGTTTAAAAAAAAGAAGAGATGGAATTCCTCACACAACCACAAGGTGAATTCCATCTCCGGATATTTGCAAATTATAATTTCTCTAGGTTCAGCCTTGTTCCGTGCATACAA